CCCATAATCGTACTGATTAGCTGCTCCATCAAAGTACATCGTCCATGTTTTCTCCTCTATTTGCAGAATATCCTCATTTGGGATTCCCTCTTGTCCTTAGCATTTGCTCTTGGTGGATACACTTCATTTTCCAAGAAATTCTAGATATTATAGTACCAAGAGTTTTTGTCTGAAACCTCATCTATCGCGACAATGGTTTCATAGGCTAGTGTGTACTTCTGTTCAATAATAATCGAACGCATCCTAACTCCTAATGGAATGTCTACTATCGAAGATAGAGTTGCTAGTGCGTCAGCAAATCGGTTGTTCTCTTTTAGCAGATAGGTAAACGTTAACTTTTCAAACCTCAGAATTAGCATATCCAAGACTTGATGGTAAACCTTTATTTTTTCTTCTTTTACCCGCCAATCTCTGTTGGCTTGAGACACAACCAAGTTCGAATCCCCGATGACGTCTAACCTTTTTACTCCTAGTTTTAGGGCGGCTTCTAAACCAGCAATACACGCCTCAGATTCTGCTTCGTTGTTGGCTACTTTGAATAGGAGTTTGAAGGCTAAGGGTATATGAGAGTCATCGGGTGCTATCAGCAACACACCGATCCCATAATCGTACTGATTAGCTACTCCATCAAAGTACATCGTCCATGTTTTCTCCTCTATTTGCAGAATATCCTCATTTGGGAAAAGGTACTCCACTGTTTCATCCCCTTCTACTGGGTGATCTACCAAGAATTCCGCTACAGCTCGCCCTTTAACAGACTTGTGTGTAATATATGTAAGATCAAATTCGGAGAAAAGAAGCAACCAACGGGCTAGCCTACCTGTAAGTGCTGGTTTCTCAAAGAGATATTTGATGGGATCTAATCTCGAAACCAAGATTATAGAGTGAGCTAACAGGTAGTGCCTTAACTTCCAAGTAGCCCATACCAAAGCTAAACAAGATTTCTCAAGGGGAGTGTAACGGGTCTCGTAATCCAGCATTTTCTTGCTCAAGTAGTAAATGACTTTCTCCACCTTGGCCTCGGACTTCAAAGCTGACATACACCCCATGGTTGAGTTTGTCACCGACAGGTACAAAATCATCAGTTTTTCCGATTTTGGCGGCGATAACACAGGCGGATTCTACAGGTATTGTTTGACTTGTTCAAAAGCGAACTGACAGCAATCGTCCCATTGGAACTTCTTTTCTTTCTTCAGGAGACCAAATAATGGTTCACAAGTTAAGGTTAATTTGGAAATAAATCATCTTATGAATTACACTTTACTCAAAAAGCTGTGCACCTCTTTTTTTGTCCTTGGTGGTGGCATTTCTAAGATGTTCTTGATTTTGGAAGGATCCATCTCAATTCCTCTCTGTGTGATTAAGAATCCCTGCATTTTTCTTATTGTCATGCCGAAAGTGCATTTTTGCAGGTTCAACCTCAACCTATACTCTCTGATTCATTGATAGAATTTCTCCAAGGCGATGTAGTGGCCCTCTCGATCTTTGGACTTGACAATCATATTATCCACGTACACCTTAACCTCTTTGTAGATCATGTCGTACAGAATGGTAGTTGGAGCCCTTTGATAAGTGGCCCCAGCATTCTTTAACCTAAACAGCATGACTCGATAGTAATAGGTGCCCCCATGAAGTAGTGAAAGCGGTCTTCTCCTTATCATTGGGTGCCATTAGAATCTGGTTATACCCGGAAAATCTATCCATGAATGAGAGCAATGCATGGCCCGCGGTGAAGTCTACCAACTCATCAATATACGGTAGTGGAAAATCATCCTTTGGACTAGCCTTATTCAGATCCCTGAAGTTAACACATACTCTGATTTTGCCATCCTTCTTTAAGACTGGAACAATATTGGCCAGCCACGTTGGGTACTCAGATACAAGCAAGAAACCTGCCTCGATCTATTTGGTAACTTCTTCCTTGATCTTCAAAGCCCAATTTGGGTGAACTCTGCACAGCTTTTGCTTAACGGGCCGGGCCTCAGGGTCAAGAGGGATCCGGTGATGTACAATCTTTGGATCAATTGCAGGCATGTCTTCATAGGACCACGCGAAACATATTTGAATTTTTTTAATAAAGCGATTAAACGCTCGCGTTCCTCTAAAGACAGGGTGGACCCGATCTGGACCAAGCAAGGATCTTCCTTAGTACCCACGTTAATTGATATGATTTCATCTGTACAGGGCTTAACATGCCTCTCCTTCTCATGATCAACCAAAATTTTCAAAACCCGAGAAATTTCTTCCTCTTCATTTATGTCAAAATTTTGCAAATTAAGATCAATATAACAAACCAATGGCACAGAGAAGTAGGCAACATTCACAACATTTCTAATCAAAAAGTCTGAATCTTCAGTTATAGTAGACTCAAGAAAAGCTAAAAGACGACCTGGACAGGACTTTGGTATTTGGGTTACCACTCCCAGAAGTACCAGACTCAAAGGAACTCGAATCTGACTCCGACTCCACAGACTTAATGGAATCAGATCCAGACTCACTATCCGATCCATAATTGCTAATGACACCTTTCTCGAACTTCCAGACTAGACGTGGAGCCTCAGACGCATCCACAATAAGTTTGGAGAAATCTGCTATTGGGTTATCCCCGATCATTGAGATAGTAAAACTATCCCCCAAGTTTGTGGTCTCAACTCTAGCAGTAGAACTTATCAGTAAGTCAGCCAGCGCTTTCCCCAACAGCTCCTTCTCTTCGATGTCCAGGTTTGCAATCCTTCCTTGATCCGTACCAATGCTTAGGTCTGCTTGTTCATCCTCTTCTTTTGGTAGCTGGTATCTGAAAAAGATCTCGAACCCTGGATACCTTGTTTTTATTTCCCAGTCATACCAGGCCTCTGGGAATCCACAAAAGGGGAAGTCTTCCCCTTGGCGGACAAAACACTCGTTTAAGGTCCCCTGTATTGGTTTTTGGACTAACTCATACTGCTTCCCAATCCTCTTTGCTTTCAGCCTTTCTCTCAGCTCATGCTCTTTCTTTTGCCAATCTACGATGGTTGGTTTGTATCCCAGCCCGAAAGTGTAGGGGTTATGACTGATCTCCTTAACAACAGTACCTCATTGTCTGTCACTTCGGCCTAGTCCCGATCCGGGCACATGCCCCTACTTGTTCATCATGTATATAGATTGCACACTCACATAATCTCCATCACCCTCTGCCATGATGGTTTGGACCAACCGGGCTTCTGCCAAAGAAAAGCCGTAAAAGAACATGTCTTTTTTCCCCTGTATGATTTCCAATAATGGTGCGGTGGTTCCTTGGGGAGGATGGATCGTAGAGTTACCGTACACACTGGCAATCCCGCCTTTGAAGGGGTATTTCACTAACTGATGGACTGTCGATGATACGACCTTCATCTGATGTAGCCAGGACCTTTCCAATAGTAGGTTGAATGTGGATGGAACATCCATGACATGGAATTCCACCTCATGTTCGAACGGGCCAATTAGGACATTGCTCTTGAACGTTTCCATAACATCTCGGCTTATATTGTCATAAGCCCGGACAACTTGGGTCGTGGGTGTAAAGTCAATCGACCTCAAACCAATGGCATAGGCAATTCTCACACACATTGATCGCAGATCCGGTATCTACTAACACCAACGAAATTCACTTTTTCTGACTTTTCAGGGTTACATACAAAGGATGGTTGTGGCTAGCACCCTCTGGAGGCAATTCTTTATCCGTGAAGGATATTACTAGCATAACGTCCCAGAGGTGACCAACAACACCAATTGGTTAGCGATGGTGTCAATGGGCAGTTTGGTTTAGTTCATTGTTTTGAGCAGGGCTTGTCTATGCTCCTGAGATGCCATTATTAGTCCCCAGATGGATATGTCAGCCTGAATCTTCTTTAGTTGTTTTAAGACCATGTTTTCCTTAACATCATTCTCTTTTACTTTCTCAGCCTCTTTTTCAGAGGTCTATAGCTGGTCTATCGCCGCGGGTTTGAAGTACCGACTACTCCGAGTCAGATGATCAATCTCATCAATATACCACGTATCATCAAGGATATCATCTTTCTACCCTTCATCCGTGTATACGTGGCTTAGATCGCTATTTTCCCACCACTCCCCTGAAGTCATGATCGAATTAGCATCAGGTTCTATCTGGAGCATATTAGCATCGGGTTCATACCATTCTTCTTCCACCACAGCTCAGGTTTCAAAATCCTAGTACTTTCTGAGTTTCCTTAACAGTCTTTTCTGATCACTAGGTTTCCACTCGGTTTTCTTGGCGTTTTGAACACTGTCTATTGTGGATTTAACCTCTTCTTTCTCCTCATATCTTTTCTGTTCCAAAGCTATCTTTGTCTAGATCTCCATTATCCTTTCCCTTTGAAATTGTTCTAGTGCTTGTTCTTTCTCGGTCAAAGGTATAGCCTCAGCCTTAGCACTAACAGCAATTTCCTCTTCTATCCTAGTCTTTCCTATCTGTTTCTCTACATCGGACTATTCCTCACTTAACCATCCGTTGCTTGCTTCTGGTTGGCTCGAGTCCCACCATCCCATCTACACACAGCTTGTATCTTCTTCCTCGAAAAAGTAAAGATTCTCCATATACGTTACTACAAATACAGATAAAGATCACACTTTTTTGTGTGATGTATGTTTTTTAATCACACCTTTTAAGTTTTATTAAAGTGTGGTCTTTGGGAGTGTGATTAAAAGGGGTCATTTTTAATCACACTTTTTAAGTGTCATTAAAAAATGCTTACATCACACCTTTTAAGTGTGATTTGTAACCTAAATTCCAGAATGGAACTGAAATTGCCATGCCCTTGGTTGCTGTTCATGTGATAAAGAAATCAAGGAATCAAGACACACACACACACACACACACACACAAAGATTTTCTTCTGAAAAAGTATGGAATTCTCTTACTGGGTCAATTGACACATTCCATGATGTGATGAAGCTAGAATCATTCTCAGATGGGTTATCTTTAAACACCCATTTGTGACTATTATATGCTACAACTTTCCCTATTTCCCTACCATTCTGCACACACAAAATTTACACTCATCGAAAACAAAAACAAAAAACAAAAAAGTATTCAGAATTACCCTTCACTATAACTGTACACCTCATGGGACATTTTAAAGAACACATTAGCTCCAAACCTTCCCTTTACGTTTCCAGCTTTTTCGCATTTGTAAAAATCAGAAAACCCATCTTCCCAAACAAGAATCCTGAAGCAAAAACCTAACTTAGAACTCAAAATGACCCAAATTGAACTTAAAATCCGATTAGGTTGGTCATAATTCTTATAAATATATTACCAGTTCCTTTTGTTGCCCTTGGCGCGATCAAGTGCGCCACCTCCATAGTCCCACCTGAAATAGAGCAATGTGATAAAAGTCATAACAAGACATGACCTTGGAGGAACTCAGGCTTCATTTTTTTATTGAACTCAGATAAAACAATGTCTGGTTTTGGGGGGAATTCAAATGTTGAACTGTTTTAGTTTTGTATTTGTTTACTTTAGAGGAAGGTAGTTCCTAGGCAAGATCCTTCAGAAGACTGTGTAAACCCACTTTGTAGAAGTGGAAGAATCTGAGGATGTACATAGATTTCTGAGGATGTGCTGTAACAGACAGTTGAGCATGGGAAGTCCACCTTTCATTGTCTAGAGAGAGAGAGGGAGAGGGAGAGGCTAGACTAGCAAGTTGTAATCACAATTAAATAGAAAAGAGTAAAACAAGAACAATGTCACGAGATTTGAGTAGGAGAAAATGTAATCACACCCCCTTTTGTGAACTTAAAATTTAGCCAGTTTATCTAGATTTGAGCAACTAAAGTAGATTGCGTAATTGGATTTATTGAATTTTTTACGATTAGTTGTTCAGTTTTGGTCACAGGATGCCTTAATTGCAAGATAGGCATTTGCTCATTTATTGCATAATCCCACTTTGAATAACAAACCTAAAGAAAGAACTAAAACTAACAATCCCAAACGCTTAAAGCGGAGCATTAAAGAAATGTCCGCAAAAGTTACTGCCGATTTAGAAAATCCTTCTTTATCTCTCTCTCTAAAAGATTTGCCAGCAGATCCACCACCTGTAGCTTCCTCAACCAAATTACCACTACACACCAAGTAAACCAAAAAATTAACTCAACTACTATATTTCAAGCTGAAAGAGCTTCTCCTAATTTTGTGACAGGATTAACTAAGTGACCAAATAGTTGCAGTGAATTTCATTTTGCATACATCTAGAACCATCACAGTTGGCAATATCATAAAAGGAATAAGAACCATCATCGTGAGTAAAAACAGCTCACCCTCAGATACAAACCATCCTCCAACTGAGGTCTTACGGCCAATTTCATTGAACTGATAAATGAAACTATCCCCTGTTACCTCTCTGACTTCATCCCCATCCAATCTCTCTTAACACATAAACACCAAACAGAAATATCCAAAAAACAGGGACAAGAGAGTGGAGCTCTTAAAGTAACCTCATTGTGCCAACACAGTTTTTTTTTTTTTTTTTTTTGAGTCAGGCACTTTTTCAAACAGTTAGAGGTTAATAATATTAGATAACATTTATAGACTACCATCTATTACATATGTACAAATATACATAGCATGTATATATTGATGAGAAATAAATATAGAGGAGAGAATCTTGACAAACCTGATATCATTGGACGGTGCTGATCCTAAACTAAAAAAATTCCTATGTATTCATTCTAGACACATAGAGGAGAATCAACCCAACACACTGGCATCTATAACAAAAAAATTCCTATGTATTCATTCTAGAAACACAAGAGAAAAGAGATTATGAGGGAGTGTGAGAGCGATAAAAGATATACAATCCCAACTATGCTCAGTCTAGGGTTCACTTCATGCTCGAAAAAATAACCTAGAAGAGAGGAGAACTATACCTGGATGTTAGAGGGAGATTTAGAGACGCCGATGTTGTCATCGGTGGGTAGTTACCGCCACTGTTAGAGAGTGAGAAAATGGGGAGATCTGTAGACGCCGGTCTACGAGAGAGAGAGATTGTGAGCGTCTGCGAGAGCGAGATAAGAGAATTGAGAGGATGAGGGCTACCTAGACACGCTGGTGTTGTCGCCATAGAGAGAGAGAGAGAGAGAGAGAGAGAGATCTCCTTCTGATGAACCCTAGTCTTTTACTTTCCTTTTGATTAAAAATAGCCAAAGAGTTAAATGTATTTTGAATTTTTTTTTTAATTTGTGTTTTGGTGTTGGGGTTTTTTTTTTAAAAAAAAAAATTGGGAATTGTATATTTTATATAATAATTAATTTGGAATATTTTATACAATCACACTTATTTAAAAAGTGTGATTAAAAAGTAGTAATATATATATATATATATAATCACACTTTAATTAGAATGTGTGATTAAAAATATATATACACATATATATATATATAATTACATTCATTTAAAAAGTGTGATTAAAAAGTACTAGCATATATATAATCACACTTTAATTAGAAGGTGTGATTAAAAAATATATAAATAATCACACTTTAATTAGAATGTGTGATTAAAAATTATATATATATAATCACACTTATTTAAAAAGTGTGATTAAAAAGTAGTAGTGTATATATAATCACACTTTAATTAGAGAGTGTGATTAAATACATATATATATATATATAATCATACTTAATTGAAAAGTGACATAAAAAATAAAAATTATCACACTCAATCAAATTAAGTGTGATTAAAATATCAATCTAATTTTTTTATCACACTTCCAGTAAAAGTGAGATATTTTTTTTTGTTAAAGTGTGATCTTTAACTATTTTTGTAGTAGTAATCCTCTTCCAATTCCGCCACATCCTCCTCTAGGTTTACTAGGTCATTCAGGCCTTGCTCGGGCCACTCATTCTGATTTTGCGCCATTTGATCTTCCCCGATAGCATTAATGCTAAGAAAGTCCAGCAGTATGACTACCGACTTCGGCTGATTGATGGCCACAATGTATAAATTAGGATCGTACTCCTCTACGAGCGAGACCCCCTTCTCTATGACACGAGTATCAGACGACCCTGTCTTCAGTGCATTCTTCTCTTTCTCCATTTCTACTACCACAGGCTTGGATTGGGTTTGTGGTGTTAGATCCATCGTGCACATGTCTGTGCCTTATGGAATGACCACCTCCGGTTTTGGTAGGTAAGATAAGGTAATGTATGTGCTAGGGTTGAAGGTGGGCGGTAGTGTATGGATGTGGTTAATATTTTTGGGCGAGGGGACTTGGTTGTATACAAGAAGTGGATTGGTTGTTACGTTTGGTTTAGCAAGCAGGGTGATGATTTTGTTGTCAATGAGATCTTGGATCTCATAACATAAATGATAGCACATGTCTGTGGAATGGCCATGTTGTTGGTAGAAGATACAATACTGGGTGGGGTCGTGTTTGGGTGGCAAGAGGTTGTGAAGTGGATGGGGATCGAGAGGCTTGAGATGCCTCTTTTGCATTAATAGCTTAAGGGAGTGAGCTGGTCTCATATGGAGGGGAGTAAAAACTCTTCGATTTCGGGGTGGGCCGGTACTTTGTGAAGGCGTGGCAGTTCAAAGGAATCAGCCATCTTGGCTGTCGAAACAACAGTGCTAACATCCGTAGGCCGTGGAATAGTGCTACTGCTAGCATTGGTATTCCGGGAGAATGGCCTTCTTACGGGTTCACTTATTCTGTGGATGATACATTTTTTGAATGCACTCTCGATCTGGACCCCCAACTCATGTAAGGAAGCAAATGTGGACAACGGTACCACTATCATCCTCTGTAGCATGTCTAGCTCAAGGTTCTAGACCACTAGTCGGACTTGTTCTCTTTCGGTAGGCCTATTTGTCATTCGGGTTGCCTTGGCTCTCCACTAGGCGACAAAATCAATGAATGATTCTTTGGGGTTCTGAGTAGTAGCCTCCAGCTCACTAATGGTTACTTCTATCTAGGTGTTATATGAGTATTGATTGACAAACGCCTCATATAGCTCCTTACAATTCTACTTTGTTGAGTCCTCTAATTTAGCATACCAGATGGCCTCCATATTAGACAAGGTTCTCCCAAACAACGAAAGATTTTGTGCCCTAGACAAACCCCTAGGTCTCAATACATCCGAAAACAACTAGATATGCACGATCAGACCCTCACTCCCATCGAATCTATCGATGTGGGGCATCTTAAATTTCTCTGGTAATCTAATCGAAGCCTCAATGTACCTATCTTCGATATCTTGAATGGAGTTGAAGCCTTGGGATTTCTTCAATGCTTTCTCTAATCTAGCAATGTTGAGCAAGGTCGGATCAATTTCATTGATATCGAAAGGAAAAATCCCTAGGGAAGGTTGAATCGGAGGCCGATAAGCTACAGCTGGAGGAAACATGTCCTGAGGATTCGGGACTGGCAGATTTTCTACTGGTGGGGGTAGATCGAGATTTGATTGAGCAGCTGGGATCGGGTGCACAGTTAATGCTAACATCCCAGATGTACATCGTAGGTCGGTAATGACTTCATCTTGTGCAGCAATCCTCTGATTTACAGTGTCCATAGTTCTTTGGAAGACAGTCATCATGGCAGCGAATTCCTCTGCGTTTTGCACTGTGCTTTGTGCCATTGCTAATCTGGGTGAACTAGATGCTGGTGAACTGATTGAATGAGAACGGGTAGGTGTTTGTGGAGTGCTTTGTACTGATGCTATTGACCATTTGTTCTTCCCCCGTCGAGTGACTGGAGGAAGTGAGACTAACACAGGCTAACCACCAACAAGGTCTTGAGCTTTACATAGTCTATCGAAACGAGTCCACACGACTTGCGGAATATCGGGTCTTTTCGAAACTATGATGGTAAACTACCTAGCAAAAAGAAAGAAAGAAAAAAAATCAAATCAAATCAAAATCAGACAACACTTTGGCCCCAATTCACAACAATCATAACACATAACTGAACTGTAATCCCCACTAAACTCTGTTTTCAAACTTTAAATTGATATGAACCATCCTGTACAGTCTCACTGTAAAAGCACATATCAAGTAAAATGAACCAAAACACCCCTATGAGGGTGGTAGGGTTACCTTGTCCTAGATTTTTGGCATGATCTAGGCTGCACTAATTCAAACAACGAGTTTCACAACATCCTGTAAATGGGTGACATCCTATCCTAAGTTGGATAGTCACTGTAGCTTCACTATATGCAACTAGGTCAAATGGTCAAAAGGGTACTTCAGCAAGAATACTTAATATACCTTTCATACCTAACACTAAGAAGTGAAAGGTGGATCAAATGGTACGATGGTAATTCAGATCCAAGGGTTGTGTTTCCAACATGGTAAAGTCCATGACCAGTCAGCCTTTTGGACAAGCCTCCGGCAAACCGTCCAAGAATAGCAGTTGGCAAACACAGTGACTTAAGCGCACCAATACAAATGCAAATGCCAAGATCATATAAGTGCAGATAAAAGTTCACATCATGAAGTTTCAAGTCAAGTTCTCAAACTCCCAAGCAGAGTTGCCAGAAACTGTAGCTCGACTTTTCGTGTCCTATTTCGAAAGACGAATAGCCCTACAGTTCGGACTCCACTCGTGGTTCTGAATCTAATTTCAAAAATGCAATGTGAAACAGTAAAAACACAAAAAGAGTCCAAATTCGACAATTCTTTTTGGAAAATCGATGTTTGAATCAAATACCAAAAATGGATTGCTTTGCCAGATTTCAGAATCGCCACATAAATATTTTTGAAAAATTTAGAAAACCCGAGACTCGTGCCAAAGGCCATTAGTCCGTCATCACCAAAGTGTCTCGGCTCAGGAACTTAGGTACGAGAAGGAAAGGTCAGGCATTAAGCACTCCACTCGCCCGATCAAAGATCGACCTCTACTAATCATGATGTGTTTTTTGTTTACATTATATGCTCTTGTTCTGATTTATTAGTTAACTTACTATGTGATGTGCATACAAGGTATAGACCAATTTGTAAGAATTAGAACATTTGATGTCATGTTTGTTTTCGAAATTGGTTTTGTGAATATGCCACTTCAAAAAGTTGGTTAAAATGGACATTTAATCAAACTATCCCAATTCAAGCAACTAACCTTCATTCACAGGCATTCAAACAGTTATATTATTTAAGCACTTAGCCTTATGGTATTCATGCTTTGACATGGCAACACAAACATATTCATGCAATATGCTAAAACGAGTAAATGCTCACTTAGTACTCCAAGTTGAAACAAAGCAGAATAATTAGAAAAATATGTATGTTCCTAATTAATGCAATGTGACTAATGCAACACACACATTATACGATTTTATAGGCTCGGCTATGAGCATGGCATATGATTCATTCAAGACATGTGAAAGAGCACATATTCGAATAATGAGTTTGAACATTGATATCGGGTTAGTATGATGAGCCGAGCCTTGGATGCATGTAAGACAATGGGTGCAAAACATGGAGTATGCTAACAAAACGTGATGTCCTATATTGACCATCATAAGCAAGTAAGTAAAAGGAAGAAAGACATGAGGTTGGAAAACATACAACTTATTACAACATTACCCTCGTGCAAGGGGGTGCGAATCAAACTTTGAATTGAACTAATTATTACAAAACCGAATGAATAAATTAAAGCATTAACTAGCTAACTGGGCTATTACAACAAGGGTAACCAAGATAAGCAAACTAGCTATTTAAGCTAATTAACTACAAGAATTACAAACGATACAATGATAATAATTAATTAATTATAATAATGATAATTAATAATTTAATCATCAAACAAGGATGCATAAGGATGCAACGATGTTCGCATACGCAGCGTCCAAGAACAGCACTGTATGCCTGAGGTTGCTCTATTTCATCTTTAGCCACTGTTTTCTATTTTCTGCAAAAATACACTGCTGACCAAACGTTGAGGACCGGTCAGCCCTTAATAAAGCCCGACTGGACCTAAAGAAGGCCGGCCGTGCCTCAATTTCATGCCAAATTCTGTTTTGTGTTCTAAAGTGAAAATAGTGCAGATAGAGTGTTTTGGACTCTATTTGTCCCTCTCACACTTCCCTGTCATGGGAACACCTCGAGAGAAGGTTAAAATTGTTTCCAAAACTATCAATGAGCAAGTTGAT